GAGGAAAAAAAATTAACTTAAATGATTTTAGCAAATGGCTGCAATATAACAAAGAGTGAAAAATTTAAGGGGGTCTGAATACTTTCCGTACCCACTGTATATAGATATTAAGCAGAGTACATGCATATTCGCAAACATGTAATATACACACACAAGCATATATTATATTACATGTATCTTTCTATGTATTGATCATCCTTTTTTTTATTTATAGCAACAAAATCAGACCTTCTTTCTCATACATATTCAACCCATTTCCTCCATTTTCCCAGAAAGGCATCCTTCTTTAAATTAACCAAAAAAGTGATCTTTTCCATTGTATAAATCTCTATGGTCACATCTATCCAATCATCTAAAGTTGGTCTCTCTTGTTTGAACCATTTACGTGGGATTGCTTTCTTACTGGCTGCCAAAAGCACAGCCATCAGGTATGAGAGAAATAGGCCTTTTGTGTACATAGAAAAAGTCTTAGATCTTTGAGTTCAGCTCATGAAAAATGGGGGCAAAAACAAAAGTGTTGCGTTTATAATTTTGTTCAGTGTATAATGTTATATACAATATTTATAATACAATTCTACAATATACATTTTTTATTTAATGGGCTAAGGATAGCAATTCATCTTAACAGATATGACACGATGAGAATATCACGAAATATTCTCACACTAAGATTAGCAAAAATATAAATGATACACCTCTCACGGGTGTTTGGAAGAGCCTGGTGACTTTTTTTTCACTTTTATTTGTATTGAAAACATCATGGGCATTACAAAGTCAAGACACTACAGTTTCCATACATTCTTTGGAGTACAGTATTACACTTATCCTCAATGATATGTGTACACAATCCATTTATCCCAATACTTAATACATTTGTCCATGTTCGGTCTAACTGTAAATGTATAGGTCTCTCCATACAGTATATTTGGTTTACAATTCCCAACCACTGGTCCACCAACATGTTTCCTATGGTACAGCTGACACTTCATGCCAGTGCTGTTGTATTTGGAAATGGTTAGCCATTGAGGTTCCACATTGCCTCCAGACTCTGTTCACCTGTGCGTATTGCTATTAATTTGGGAGTTATACAGAGTCTTATTAAATCCTTGCAACCAAACTCCCGCCAGGAGCTTGAGTTTGTTGTGTTTGCCGGAGTCATACACTATCCACTTTTAGCCTGTTTTTCTAATTGTAATTTCCTCAGAACCCCAAACCACAACTTCACTGAGAATACAGTCCAGTTATTATAGATCTCATTGTGAATGATTCGTCCATGCATACATTTCATTTTTTTTAAATGTTTTGACCAGTGTTGGGAGTAACACATTACAGGTAACATGAATGATGTAATCAGATTACTTTTCCAAGTAACTAGTAAAGTAATGCATTACTTTCAACTTTTATTCACTGACGCCTCTCCTGTTCCTGTGTTGAGAGAAAAACAGAAATTAAGTCTATAAAAAAAAGTACACAAAATATATTTCTCTTAACAAAAGAAAAAAAAACTGTGCTACAAGTAGCCTATATGCTACGCTCGTTTTTGTGACACTCTTAATGCATTTTATTTCTTTTCTTTATATCTTTATTTGATTTAATCCATCTGATCGCGCTCGCGCACACACAGACAACATTAGTTCTTCTAGCATTGCCTGACATTTCAGCCATTCATCATCAAGCTAAAATACAGTCAACCAAACATAAAAGTCACTGTTTATTTTAAAAGGTCCGCTGTGAAATCAGCGTGCAGCGCCCAAACAAACATTTGTATGCTTGTGAAGGATTTTACGCGGATATTGGAACATGAGTGAAGTATAAAGCCATGTTTAGGCTACATAATGAATAATAGTTAAGCAAACAAATGTTACAAATATGGCAAAAAATGGAAACATTTGTATTCTAGTCGAATGAGAGAGGCTCGTGAGCCCAATGCCGTTTCAGCTTTGCTTGACGTTTGTGAGCTGTTTATAATAAATGCCACTAGCATATAGCATGATTTATTTATTTTTTATATTAAAGTTTAATATATAATTTTATAGCTGCTTATTTTGTCATTTTTTTGTAACACCGTTAAATGTAAAGGATTTGTTGTGGAGTGAAAGGAACTAAATAGGCTAAATAATGTTTATGTTTGTAAAGGTTTCCTTATATTTACCGGTATTTAATATACACATAAATTAATGTAATTGTTTGCAGTTACAAGGTTAACGGGTGTTTTTGGAGTAAAATCAATCTCTCTTTGATGAGATTACCTCCTCTTTTAGGCCGGGTTTCGTTTCTCCGTGTCGTAAACTCTAGGGCGAGGCTTCTAAACCAGGGTGTTTTTAGGGGCGTGTTATTCTAATGACGATTGTTTTCTGCCGCCACATTTATCAACATATGATCATTCGTATGATGAGATTGTCACAATCACACACGTGAACTCTGTCGTAAGGTGATTTGTGCAGGTGAGATGAGTAAACACATGTTCATATTTAGTCTAGAACTACAGTAACACACAAGGCTCTGCACTTACTCCTGATGTCTGTCACCATGGCAACACCAGAGCTGTCACTCAATACATGGAAACAAAGTAACTGCCGTTACTTATTTGAAAAAGTAACGCAGATATTTCCTTCTAAATTAAAAAGTAATTCGTTACTTTACTAGTTACTTGAAAAAAGTAATCTGATTACGTAACTGGCGTTACTTGTAATGTGTTACCCCCAACACTGGTCACAATACTGAAGTAAAGATCTGTTGCTACTTCCATTTCATTGTGATTTATTTTTAATTAAAGTGTGTCTGGATGTCTCTCACACGCTGTGTTTTCTTCAGAAACTCCTAGAGCAGCTGCGCTCAGATCCAGACGGGTTTGGCGTGAAGAGTGAGTTTCTGCGTCTTCTGCAGGGAGGAAGGACGCTGGTGGAGTTTAGGTGGGTTCATTCATCGATCTCAGTCCTGTGACCGGCACAGAGACCCTATAGCGCCAAACATCCACTGAACTGCAGCACAGGCCTGCCAACTCTTCATCTGTTTTAAGCCAACAATATTTGCTCTTAGTCTTATCTTTTTATTTATATAGCACCATATAATTACAATGTTCATTGTCCAAGGTGCTTTACAATTCAAAGATAAAACTAAATACCAACAAAAAGAAAACAATATAACCCTGAAACAGAGTTAAGAGAAGAAAAACACAAAAGGCCACATACAGTGGGTACGGAAAGTATTCAGACCCCCTTAAATTTTTCACTCTTTGTTATATTGCAGCCATTTGCTAAAATCATTTAAGTTCATTTTTTTTCCTCATTAATGTACACACAGCACCCCATATTGACAGAAAAACACAGAATTGTTGACATTTTTGCAGATTTATTAAAAAAGAAAAACTGAAATATCACATGGTCCTAAGTATTCAGACCCTTTGCTCAGTATTTAGTAGAAGCACCCTTTTGATCTAATACAGCCATGAGTCTTTTTGGGAAAGATGCAACAAGTTATTCACACCTGGATTTGGGGATCCTCCCAACAAAAAGAAAACAATATAACCCTGAAACAGAGTTAAGAGAAGAAAAACACAAAAGGCCACATATATACACATTATTTAAAAGCAAGAGAGAAAAAGTAGTCTTTAAGTTTATGCTTAAAAATGGACAAAGTGGGTGCGGATCTAATGTGTTGTGGTAAGCTATTCCAAAGATTGGGACCGACTACCTGATGAATTGAAATAAGGTCAGAAAGGTATGTAGGAGCATACTTATGAATAGACTGGTAAACAAATATAAGTACTTTAAAATCAATCCTATATCTTGCAGGCAGCCAATGGAGGGAGGCAAGTACTCCCGCTTACGTGTGCGCAAAAATACGTGACTATTACAATAGTCCAGCCGTGATAAAATTAAAGCATGAATAATCTTTTTTGTGTCTATAAAATTAAGAAATGACTTGATTTTTGAGATTTGACGAAGATGGGAAAAGCAAGACCTAACAATTGAATTAACTTGCTTATCTATTTTAAGGTGACTATCTATAATATAGCCCAAATATTTAACATGTGGTTTCAAATCAAACTTAAATTGAGAGAACTTTGCTTTTAAAGTGACTGAGGAGGATGCTGGACCAAACACAATAATCTCAGTTTTCGATTCAAGATGCAAGAAATTTGTAGACATCCAATTAGTTAAGTCTTTCAAACAGGCTGCCAAGACTTCGAAATCATTTATATCTCCTTTTTTTTTAATGGTAAGTAGATTTGAATGTCATCTGCAAAGCAATGGAAGGAAATTCCATGTTTCCTAAAAATATTCCCCAACGGAAGCATATAAAGAGAAAACAAAATGGGAGCAAGAATAGAGCCTTGTGGGACTCCACAGGTAAGCTTGGCTACAGATGCAGTGTGGTTTGCAATATTAACTGCACAACATCTGTTATGCAAGTAAGATGCAAACTATTTCAGAACATTACCCTGTAGGCCCACATAGTGCTCTAGATGAGAAAAGAATGGAATGACTAACTGTATCAAACGCTGCTGTTAGGTCTAAAAGTACTAAAATAACAGAATTGTAGAGTCTGTAGAGATGAATACATCATTACATACTTTCAAAAGAGCTGTTTCAATACTATGGCGCACTCTAAAGCCTTGAATTGGATTGAATTGGCACTCAAAAAATCCTGCAATTGATTGAATACAACTTTTTCTCAAATCTTTGCAATAAAAGGCACATTTCAAATAGGTCTAAAATTAGAATAAACAGAAGGGTCAAGGTTCGGTTTCTTCTGAAGAGGCCTAACAGTTAAGAGGTTAATACATTATAAATGTAAGCTTTTCTGAAGATCCAAAATGTTTAAAATAGCATCTATAACAGTTTAGTGGCATATTAAAAGTGATGGTGTCAGTATATAATGAGATATTTTGGAGTTTTTTTTAATACAGCCATGTCATTATTATTCAACGCTGCTGTTTTTAAGTCACTTATTTGCATGGTAGGGTAAAAAGAAATGTGTTAAAACAAAAATAAGTCTTTGGAAACTCTTTAACAAGATGTAATTTTGTTGAGCTGTTACACATACATATGGCCAAGTCAAAAGAGCTCTCTCAAAGACTACAGAGAATAAATTAGACTCGTAGCTAGTTTCGTTAAATTAGACAGTCTATGGCTACAAGAAGATGCTAAATGTGTTTTAATAGCTCCATCTTAGTACATTAGTTAGTGCCAACTAGGTGTAAGTAACTGTGTTGTGGTGAAGGAAAGCCTTGTTTTGGCATGCGTACACTGTGAGTAGCACACCCGTTAGCTTACAGCATGTTGTGATGTAGCCTGTGGCTCTGTGGTGTTATACACTGAACTCTCTGTGCTTTAGTTCTCCAAACATCGCTAAGAAATTTCACGCCGAACACCTGCGCTCCACTATAATCGGTAAGGTCATTACTCTGTTGAAATAGTTCTGCAAGTGTCAAATGCAATGCGTTCCTGTTAAACTAGTTCCCTCTGTCACCAGCAGAGGGAGGACTGGTGTACAAATATTCTGTGTTTGTATTGAACAGATGATTTTAATAAAACAGTCCTTCACAAACACATGTTCTCAGCTTAAATTATGAGCTCTGTTTCTTTTGGAGGAAACTTCATTGCCAACCTAAAGAAGGCCTTGGGGAAGGAGGTCATTCGAGTCAATTATTTGGGCGCCTGGGGAATGCAGTTTGGTAAGTTACCTGTTACCGTTATTAACAATGCAATGCTCTTCATTGACTCTGTATTGCGGGAAGCTGCCTCCTTGTCATTTCTGACTTATAACAAAATACAGAACAATGTCTAAAAGCTGCTGTGTGAAAGGTGTACAGCAAACATGCTAACAAAACCAGAACTACGTTTTTATAAGCTGTTGACCCCAAAAAAAATATCAAAAATTATGTGTTAATTTAGATTTGTTCGTAAAATAATATAAATGCATAGTATAATATTAAAATATAAATAGCTATTTTTAAAAAAACAACATTGAAATATTGAACACTTACACATTTTTGAACAATTTAAGGTTTTAGATAGTAAACTAGTAAAACTATACATTCTGAACAATTATAGTTTGAAGCAGTGTATTAGTAGTTAGTTAGTATGCTACACTCTAAGATGAGTGTCAAAATAGGGCACAATCTACTATGTTAACATGAAGGAATTTTGCGTATTGATTTTTCACAGGTTTTTTTTTTTTAATTATTGTATTTTGTGTTTTCGGGTTACAACGGATAATGGATTATGGATTTGTCCTGGAAAATTGGTAGTACCTTTTCCATTTTTCTAGATATTTTTCCTAGTGTACTAAATGATCGACAAACGCAGGTACAAGCTACTAACAAGGTGTATCATAAATGAACAGTGATTTAATTATTCAATTATTATTATTAAACGGAACAACTGAAAATAGCAGCTAACTTAATTCATGTGTTGTGTGTACTGCTAAGCATCTTTGCTTTCTTCTTTTTGTGTAATTTAGATGGAAAATGTGTGCCTTTTTATCATTTGAGTCACTTATCAAAAGTTGCTAAAAGTTGCCAAATAAATGTGTTTGGTTTGCACCGGCTTGCACGCGCTCACATCTGTTGTTCTGCAGGTGTATGTTCAGGTGAACCGCGAGGCCGAGCGCGATGAGAGCGTGCGTTCGGCCGCCGCAGAGTTCTTCAGACGTCTGGAGCGGCGCGAGGAGCAGGCCCTGGCGCTCTGGAGGCAGTTTCGTGAGATCACGGTGGACGAATATAAACGCATCTATCAGGTAATATCAGGTCTCGTTCGTGAGGGATTTATGTGTTCATATCTGGGAGTGCTTGCACTCAAAACAAAAAATAAATAAATAATAAAATAATAACAAAGCTGCGTTTGAGGAATGCCGTGCATTGGTTGAGTGCAATTAAAATGTAGGCCGAGCGCGATGAGAGCGTGTGTTCGGCCGCCGCAGAGTTCTTCAGACGTCTGGAGCGGCGCGAGGAGCAGGCCCTGGCGCTCTGGAGGCAGTTTCGTGAGATCACGGTGGACGAATATAAACGCATCTATCAGGTAATATCAGGTCTCGTTCGTGAGGGATTTATGTGTTCATATCTGGGAGTGCTTGCACTCAAAACAAAAAATAAATAAATAATAAAATAATAACAAAGCTGCGTTTGAGGAATGCCGTGCATTGGTTGAGTGCAATTAAAATGTGAAATTAAATCATTTTAATGTGTATTTTAACTAATGCGAAACTCTAGATTCTGCCTTTGCCTAATGCATTAAATTATGCCAATTTTATGCACATTTTTAAAATCACATTTCAGGTGTTTCCGTTCAGGATTTCTTATGCATCTTCACATCATCTGTGACTTCGGCAAGTTTGATATTCTAATGAGCATTTGACTGGATATTTGATATTGATTCGTATTGAACATATTTCAGGTGCATGTCGATTTTTCTTAAATCTCTCTCAAACAATGCTGTAAACTGTACAGGTAACCCTGTCAAGTCATACAATACTATACTATTAAAGGCTAAAATGAAGAACAAACTCTTAAAATCAGTGTATTTTCATGTATAATATTCAACACTCCTTTCATGAAGCCGCATGTATAAACTGAACTTCTTGAGTGTCTGTCAAAAACTGAGCGTAACTCACGATAATGAATAGAAAGAGACATGTGACCTGCTCCATCATCTTGAGTTGTTTTGACCCAAAAGCACATTGCTACTAATATAATTGTTTAAGCTCTCTGCCATAAAAGCCTGTTATTATGACAGCCGTATATAAACATACAGGGTCTTAAAAAAATCTTTAATCACCCGTTCTCAAATTAAGGCCTTAAAAAGTACAGAAAGTCTTACATTGACTTGAATGAAAATGCAAAAATGATTATCTTCCTCAGTATTCTTGTCGTTTTCCAACATAAATATCCAGATGTTCTTAAATCAGGATACATTTAGTTGAGATGCAAAATGAAGATATGAAGTCTTGTGTTCTGAGAAACAGAGATTACAGAACAAATATCTGTCGGTGAGGAATGAAGATGTGTTGTGTTGTTGGAAGCCGCATAAACTGAACTTCTTGAGTGTCTGTCAAAAACTGAGCGTAACTCACGATAATGAATAGAAAGAGACATGTGACCTGCTCCATCATCTTGAGTTTGAGCACATTGCTAATAATATAATTGTTTAAGCTCTCTGCCATAAAAGCCTGTTATTATGACAGCCGTATATAAACATACAGGGTCTTAAAAAAATCTTTAATCACCCGTTCTCAAATTAAGGCCTTAAAAAGTACAGAAAGTCTTACATTGACTTGAATGAAAATGCAAAAATGATTATCTTCCTCAGTATTCTTGTCGTTTTCCAACATAAATATCCAGATGTTCTTAAATATCCAGATGTTCTTAAATCAGGATACATTTAGTTGAGATGCAAAATGAAGATATGAAGTCTTGTGTTCTGAGAAACAGAGATTACAGAACAAATATCTGTCGGTGAGGAATGAAGATGTGTTGTGTTGTTGACGGCGGTGTCTGTGCTCTCTCAGCGTTTAGGAGTTGACTTTGACCATTACTCTGGAGAGGCGTTTCATCAGAGTCAAACCCAGAGTGTGCTGGACGAGCTGACGACCACAGGACTCTTAAAGACCACCGAGTACGACCAGCAATCCACACATAAGATGAAATCAACAGATGCTAATTTGTCTGACTTTGAAACATATAGCCTTCTGCCACATAAAACTCCATGCGATTGCCTGAATATGAGCTGCTGTGAAAACTGCTCCAACACAGCATTTTCACCTACATTTTTGTCCCGTCCTTTGCTCTTTCAAGTGTGAATCACTTCGTTCCCGAAACTTTGCAGTGTGTATGTGACACGCTGTGAAAAATAAAAGTTCTGTACAAATTCTGAATGGATTATTGGCTGTATAGCCTAGAAAGCACACAAAGAGCACTGCCTTTATATTCACTAAAAAGCTGTCGCTCGTCTTAGTTCATCGCGATCTCATTCAGTTTTGTTATGAGAGGATTCTCAAGCTTGCCTTTCACTGGACTCAGCACTGACAAAAATAAACCCTTTGATTCTCTCCAGAGTGCAAACACAATGCATCGCATTGCCAGATCAGTTTCGCCAATATGATAGTGAATAGATCATCTAGTTTTTAACTAAAATACGAGTCCATAATCCATAATAACTCTTCCTCCAGTGAAAAAGTGTTCTGGTGTGAATCAGGAGAGAAATCTGCACAGATCAAGCAGCGTTTAAACCGCTCTAAACTAATATGTGGCTGGGTTTTGATGTGAGAGACAACAGCAGATGCACTTTTTCACTGGGTTATTGATTATGGACACCTTGTCACTTCAAACGGTTATTTGTGTGAAGTATTCCTTGAAAGGACACATCTGTCAGTCAGACATAATGAATGGTGGTGTGGTAACTGCCAGTGATTGGTTGTTGCACAGGAAGGGCACGGCTGTGGTGGATCTGTCTGGAGCGGGCGATATGTCGTCTTACGCCACACTGGTGCGCAGTGATGGGACGTCTCTGTACATCACCAGGTGTGTCACGCACCTCTCTGACCCACACACACACACACACACACGCTCGTGTAGAGTTTACGGAGTCGTCTCCTGCCGTAACACGTGTCATTTCTGTTTGTTTAGAGATGTCGCAGCTGCGCTGGACAGGAAGCAGAGGTTCGGCTTTGATGAGATGATTTATGTGGTAAGAACCATGAGAAATCACTGCTAAACCACACAGCTCTGTCACTCTCTGCATCAGCTCCGCTCTCCTTCCCTCTTTAAGACAGATAAGAGTCAGACAGGCCACTTCCAGCAGCTCTTTCACATCCTGCGAGCCATGGGACACCAGTGGGCAGAGAGGTACACACACACACTCTAAATGGTTTGGTCAGTTAGATGTTCTTGATGTTTGCTAAAGTGTTGCTAGGATATTCTGGGTGGTTGCTAGGCTCTTGCTATGCAGTTGCTGTTTTTTATGTTGTGTATTGACTTAAAAAAAAACTATGCATGGGGGCTTGCTTTGGTGTTGCCACCCCTCATAGACCCCATGCCACCCGTTTGCCACCCTAAAAATTATTTTCTAGATCCGCTCCCTCATCCTCAGGTCCTTCAATACATTCTCTTCTATTTCACTTCACTGAAAACCATTTAACTATTACAGCATAAGTGTGTGTGTGTGTGTCAGGTGTGTTCATGTGGCATTCGGGCTGGTGCAGGGCATGAGCACGCGCCGCGGGGAGGTGGTGTTCCTGGAGGACGTGCTGGAGGAGGCTCGCAGCAGGATGCTCAACAACATGAGGCAGTCCAGCAGTGAGAGAAAACACTTACTGATTACCCTAACCATTACTGACTATCCCTAACCATAACTGACCTTAACCATAACTAACCATAACCATAACTGACCATCCCTAACCATAACCATAACTGAACATCCCTAACCATAACTGACCATCCCTAACCATAACTGACCATCACTAACCGTAACTGGCCATCCCTAACGATAACTGGCCACTCCTAACCATAACTGAACATTCCTAACCATAACTGACCATCACTAACCATAACTGGCCACGCCTAACCATAACTGACCATCACTAACCATAACTGACCATCCCTAACCATAACTGAACATTCCTAACCCTGATCAGTTGGTAAACTTTTATAGTTATATATTGTTATATCTTGTTTCTGTGACTTAAAAGAGGAAAATACATATTAGAGAGATTGATTATGTTGGTCAGAAGAGAGAAAGATGTCAAATTTACTTTTGGAGATTTGGAGAAATGTAGCATTGCATCACAATGGATGCTCTGCAGTGAATGGGTGCCATCAGAATGAGAGTCCAGACAGCTGGAGCGTGTCAGGCTGTGGATGGTCTGCTCGTGAGTGTTGATGTTCATGTTTGTGTTCACAGTTTGCTGAGAAGACATGCGAGTGAGACGCACTCCTGCTGTGACGGTCTCTCCTCTGGTGGACAGCAGAAGCGTCTCGGTTCTCCAGCACCTGCTCATGTGAGCTTCACCTTCATCACAGCAGTGGGATGAATCTGTGAGCGCTGGCATGTGTGCAGTTATTCTCCAGGAAAATGCACAGCTGTGAAGTTGTTCCAGGTCTATCAACCGCAGTACTGTTCCCCATCATTTCAGTTACTTCCTTACAGCTCACAACAGCAAAAGAACCAAACCCACACAGACACTGATAAAGCAAACAAATGTGTCTAAAAATGAAAAAAGCGGCTAACCATTTCAGTGTTTTCCCTACTACTTTTGTCTTGTTCAAACACACACAAACCTCTCTCTCTGATAATGGCATATATAATGTTTGAGAATGAGCAACGAAGGCTTGTGATGAGATGCACAAGAAACGAGATGGTTTTAAGGACTGAAACCTGACAAATGTCTTGAGATGTGGTAATGCTGGTATAAGTTTACTGCCTCAGTTGTGTTATTTTTCTGTAATTCAGCAGTCCATGGTTAATTATTCATCTCTTATACCAGTGCAGAGCTGTTAGAGGAGTGGACGACCGAGAGACTGACCTGTGGTGTTTTTATATGTGACCCTGGAGCACAAAACCAGTCATAAGGGTCTTTTTTTTGGGAAATAGAGATTTATCTCAAAGCTGAATAAATAAGCTTTCATTGATGTATGGTTTTGTTAGGATCGGACAATATTTGGCTGAGATACAACTATTTGAAAATCTGGAATCTGAGGGTGCAAAAAAATCTAAATATTGAGAAAATCATCTTTAAAGTTGTTCAAATGAAGTTCTTAGCAATGTGTTTTTTGAACATTAAAGCATGTCAACATATTCTGTTACACCAAATACACAAAATAATTATCTTTAAAAAAGCATCATATGACCCCTTTAACACTGCTTTTGTGCTCCAGGGTCACATATGACTAATAATTGTTTAAATCTATGATAACCAGTATGCAGTTTTGATACAATTATGAACAAATAATCAGGTCAACAACAATTTACCTTAACATTTAACCAAAATAAATGAAAATATAACTGCATATTTTTAAAAATATGTATTATTTATGGAAGCCCGTTTCCACCACTGAATAAAAAAGGTAATTCTGACTTTTAATCTCACAATTCTGACTTTTTTACCTCGCAATTGTGAGTTTACATCTCAGAATTGCATCATATAAACTTGCAATTCAGACTTTTTTTCAGAATTGCGAGTTACAAAGTCCAGTTCTAAGGAGAAAAAAAGACTGATATGTTCTCAGAATTGCGAGTTTATATCTCACAATTCTGACTTTATATCATGCAATTCTGAGAACAAAAAGAATTGGCCGTTTATCTCGCCATTCTGACTTAATTTCTCACAATTGCAAGTTTACATCTCACAATTCTGAGGAAAAAAAGTCAGAATTGTGAGAGAAAAAGTCGTAATTACCCATTTATTTTTTTATTCAGTGGCAGAAACGAGCTTCCATAATTATTATTATTAGTAGTAGTAGTAAATGTAGGCTTTATTTTGTGATTGTAAAGGCTTTGTTTTGACTCACCCGCTGATGGTTTGCAGATATGATGAAGTTCTGCTTCAGTCGGTGAATGAGCTGCAGCCCGACACCTGCTCATCTTCCTGATGACCCTCAGGTGCAGGTCTCTCATCACTTCAGCAGAGGTCTTGTAGTGCATTCAGCTCTGCTGGGGAACTCTATCACCACATCCGCTGCAGCAAAGTGAGTCTTTTTTAGCTCCGCATCTACAAAATGATGAACACATTGGGTGTTTTGTTAAAATAGTTTTTATTGTAAACCAAAAAATCATTCATTTTAATAAATGTACCATTAATACAGATGCTGCATTTACTGCAGCTGACAGATTTTCTCATTGACATCCTCAAGCCTGAAAAAAAAATGCAGTTTCCCACTTTTAGTTATGCCTTTTGACGTGATCCTTCTGGTCATATGGTTTAATACGCAACTGCCATCATCATCAGCAATTGTGAGTAAATATTCCGTCGTCTGTGCAGGAATGTAATGCGTACAAAGTAGCATCTTTTGAAACGTGAACAGTACATAACAGGCACTGGAATAAACTGATATCTATTGGTACAGTGTGTCACATGACCAAGCATGAGGGATGGTTTTCAGAGAAGCTCCGCTTTCACAGGCCCGCCTGCAGCACTTTCACTTGTATCCCCTTGTGAAAGCTGCTTCAAATCGCTTGGATGAAAACGCAGAGCAGAAGACGTGTTTTCAAACGTGTGTCTGGATTAATGCAGATGTTTCTGTGTGTGTTCAGTCACCTGGTGTCCTCGGCTCATCGAGAGCTGCCCGTGAAGGGAAGCGCAGCGGCCGTGGCTCAGGTAAACACAGATTACATGCACTCATCGTGCGCGGTATTACTCCCATGTGCTGCGTCAAGCAGCTGCGCTTGTAATGAAGTCACGCTTGATGGTGTCTTTGTTTCCTCAGGCCCGACTGTGTCTGTTCAGTGCCGTCCGCTCGGTTCTGGCCAACGGCATGAGGATTCTGGGTATCACGCTGGTGGAGAAAATGTGAACTTGTTTGTCAATCTCTAAATAAAAGTCTTCTTTGTTTGTGCGTGTTCGTTTCCTGGTACAGCAAGTGCATTCACTTTGGAAGTACACTATGCAAGCCACTGAGAACAAGATGCCTAGATGTCGTTCTGGCCCGTATCAGATACAGAAGTGTGTTGTAGTGCTGCTAACAGCCTTCCATAGCAGCGCTGGATAGCTTGGACCTTCATTTCCAAGCCACTGCCGAAATAAAAACCCAGACAGTAGCTACGTTTACATGCTGCCCCATCATTCAGACGGCAGAGCCTTCATGTAAATCAATTCATCAGAAACTGCTGAATCCTATGTTCTCAATCGGATTTCAAAATAACTGCAGTGCTGTGATGCATATGTTTACGCACTTATTACGAACTGATCAATGGAAACGGAGTTGGGAAAGTAACTTTGAAAAGTAATATATACCGTATTGCATTAGTTACTTTTTATGGAAAGTAGCGTGTTCTGTTACTTTTGCGTTAGTTTTTGTCACCTGAGCTGGAGTTGTTGTTTTTTTTAATCCAGAAGTTATAGTTTTGGCAGCTGTAAAGGCCCTTTCGCACCAAAAGTGAAACGAATGATCCTCAGACTGAAGGAAGCGCCTCTGCATCAACACAGGAACAGGAGAGGAGTCGGGGAATACATAGAAAAACAATTACTTGAGTTACTTGTTTGAAAAAGAAACAGATATTTTGTTGTAAATTCAAAAGTAATGCATTACTTTACTAGTTACTTGAAAGTAATCTGATCGCATAACTTGCGTTACCCCCAACGCTGGTGGACGAAATGAATCATATTTTCTTTAGTGTTCAACATTTTTATAATAGGGCAGCAGCTCCAGTGACATCTTTCTCCATTTCTAAACGCATCACAAAGTTTTGTGTGGAATAACTGTGAAGCGCATGTAAAGGAAAGTGCTTTTACATCTGAAGAGGATTGGGACTGATGCATGTAGTCTGTCCTCAGGTTTAATCACGTCTGGATTCAGACGCCGCGTGTGAACGCATCAGTCCGTAAGAGCCAACATTCAGAGACCACCCCGGATGACGAGGCCTTCCCTAAACACAGGATTCAACATTCGCTCTGTAATTTACAGCTTTCCAAACCCATAAGGATCCTTGCGTTCAGCTTGCGTCAATATTTAAGAGCACTTATACAAATAACATTGGCAATCTAAAGAATAAACCTGTCGGAAGAGCACAGGGACATTCAGTGTAGGGTTTGGCATCAGTGCATCTGCATCAAGACCTAGAAATGAAATTACACCGAGAGAAATAAAACAACCCAGAGTCTCCTCCTGTCCAGCAGGGCAGATGTGTGTCTGTCCCTCAGACTGCGATGAGTCTCTGTGTGTCCTCTCCGTCTGAGCTGGGCTTCTGCACTCTGCTGGGGTCTTGTTTGGGCAGGCCGTACAGGTAGATGGACACACACACCAGCAGCGCTCCGCCGAGGAAAGCCACCGCTGCAGAGAGCCAAGAGTGTGTGAGCACAACACACCACAACACACCACGAGGCTGCGCTGGACAACAGCAGCTCAAAGCATTCTAATTCAAGATTACATTCAAAAGATGTATCTGTTCTGTATTGTAACACTTTATTTTAAGGTTGTTTCATGTACTAACCGTTATAACAACAACAAACAATGCATAATTACATGCAAGTAACCCGAAGCCAAATCCTAACCTTAAGCATATAATAAATACACATAGTTAATATTACTCAGTACTTCAATGTATAATCGCACTGTAACAAGGACACCTCAAAATCAAGTGTTTTTCATGCATTGGTCTATTCTGAGATTTTGCTCTGTTTTGCTCCATAACATGTCTTCTTTCAGACTTGTAAAAGAAAACATTCAAAAACATGAATGCTAGTGTTTATTACACTTTATCTACTTGCGTCTGTAGATTTCGGTTTCTTTAAAGGCGGTGAGTTTTTCTCCACTTCTGCAGCACTTACACACTCCACACTTTTCCTGTCTATATTCTGAAGGCTTTTTGGAGTTCATATATCACTCACACTGATTATACAGCATTTTATTTCTAAACTTTTGAACGGGGTCATTTTTATAAATTCAACTCTTATTTTCTCTTGTGGACTATATGTAAACTTCTTTTATGTGAAATATCTTATTCAGGTCAGTACTAAATAAACAATAACATGCATTTTGTGTGATCCCTCTTATTTTGGTAAAATAATTAACATTTTGCAGATTCTGCAAGGTGTATGTAAACTTTTGACTTCAACTGTATATACACCAGCTGATCAGAATACAACGTGACTGAGCGATGCACTCACTGATCTGCAGGCCGAAGAGAACGACGGACGCCACGGTGGACAGGACGATGGCAGCGGCCGCGGAGAAGCCCTTCATGATGTTATCGGTGTATTTGACCACCACAGACGTGTACATTCCTCCCACGCTGGCCAGAACTGCAGGCAGAGAGAGAAACCCGTCAAACCGCTGCAGCAGCATTCAGGAGCTCTGCGCTCACAATGACGGGCGTGTTTAAATACACAGGACGTTCCTGCTCAGTGAGCCCCATCCTCCAAACACACACCACTTCAGAGAGCAGGAGTAAAGGTCACGCAGGAGCTACTCACAGATGACTACGCAGACCCACGGCGTGTATCCGTAGAAGAAGCCCTTCTCCAGGACCTGGGCCCCGTCCGTCACGAAGACCCCTATGAGGGTCACCACGATTCCCGACAGGTACATCTGGATGTTACGCACCCACAGAGACGTGTCCGAACTCTTCAGGACCTTCTCGAAGTACACACCTGATCCCAAACAGAGCGTCACTGATGCTCCTCACCAGAAACCCTGATCATAAACACGACTGAACACATCGTACCTGCAAACCCGGAGCAGAGCACCGCCACCGCGATCGCCACGAAGCCCAGGAACGGGTTCTGCTCCACCTGAAGCACAGCGACACGGATCATACAGAAAATACCGTTTTTACTGTATTTTTGATCAAATAAATGCAGCCTTGCTGAGCAGAAGAGACTCTTGCAGAAACATTAAAAGGTTTTGACTGGTGGTGTGCAATGCTCTGGAGGCTGCTATCTAGACTGTACAGGTTTGAAGCAGGCAGTGAATGGGCTCCTATGGGATCTCCTGCAGCTGTACCTGGACTTTGGTGGCCTGCGGCGGCGTCCACTGCACCAGCGTGACTCCTCCACACAGCATGAAGACTGAGAACCACTGCAGGCGGCTCAGAGAGCGGCTGAGCATCAGCACCGTACACAGCGCCGTGCAGGGGATCTTCAGCTGATACGTCACCTGACACACACACAGCCGCATTCAAACTCACCTTTCCCCACCCAGCAGAAAGCACTTATTCACGTGAAGAAGCATCACACGCTGATCTCAGCGCTCCCAGAATCTGAGGCATGTACGACTCAAACAGGATATTCAACGAGAAAAACAGGTACGGCGAGACTCTCCCTGTGACTGACAGCAGCGGGACAAAGAAGACAGATTTACGGTTTACTTATGAGACAAGTGGCTTCAGAGTGCACTGGCGAGCAATAACAACACAGAGTAACGATATCAATGGCATCACTTTTCTAACTGATGGACAATAAAAACACTGACAGCCAATCAGGATCCACTGGACATTAGAGAGCTGGAGGATTTAAAGCAGCAGAAGACTCTTAGAATAAACTTGTTATCATGTGTTGCTGTGAAGGGGCCTTTCATCTGGTCAGAAACCACCCATATACCCAGGACCAGAGGATCCACTTCAATTGTGACCCTGGACCACAAAACCAGTCAGAAGGGTAAATTTTTTTGAAATTGAGATTTTTATATCATCTGAAAGCTCAATAAATAAGCTTGTTAGGATATAACAATATTTGGCTGAGACACAACTATTTGAAAATCTGGAATTTGAGGGTGCAAAAAAATCTAAATATTGAGAAAATCATCTTTAAAGTTGTCCAAATGAAGTTCTTAGCAATGCATATTACTAATCAAAAATTAAGTCTTGATATATTTACGGTAGGAAATTTACAAAATATCTTCATGAACATGATCTTTACTTAATATCCTAATGATTTTTGGCATAAAAGAAAAATGGATAATTTTGACCCATACAATGTATTGTTGGCTATTGCTACAAATATACCCCAGCGACTTAACACTGCTTTTGTGCTGCAGGGTCACATTTGTTTTATAATCATTAGTCGTTTAAATCATTATTTTGGGGATTTTTAATCATAATCCTTTGTCAATTTTATTATGCTTTTAAATTTTACATGAGTATTTTCCTGGCTCTTGTTGTTTAATCTTACGATTGTGGAGTTTCATGGAGAGTTGGTCTTCATGAGTAAAACAGAATATCAGTTCTAGGCTTTATGGGATTTTGATGAAGTCATTTAGTCTAATAACACTTGTTATATTTGTCATGATCTGAAACAAATGCAACTAAGATTCTTTAATAAACTCATTTTGATCATCATCACTCTTCTCTGGTTTCCTCAGGCAGCGTCTCAGCTGACAGAAGACTGAACACGGAATATGTTCTGTAGACTTGATCTAACAGAATTGTGTTTATAAATGCAGCTGGATGTGAGTTTCATCAGACGGGACGATGCTCAGGGACTATCAGTCTGTTCTTCACACTGCTCTATCAGGTGACGGCACAAGCCCTTCAGACTGCTGCTGTTACACTGGAGAACTATAAACGTGTTACAGCGAGAGCTGCGTGACGCTTCTTCCTCAATGTCTATTTTAGTGTGGAAGTGAAGCTCGGAGCCGGAGCTCATGTGTTCAGATACCTGGTAGACAGCAGCATCCAGGTTACTTAATGCCACGAAGGCCATGTTGTTCTGGACAGCATAGACCACCGACGGCACACTCAGCTTCAGCAGCTCCACCGGACTCCTGAGAATATTACTGACCACCACACTCCTGCAGCGGCCCCAGTCTCCACTCTCCCTGCAGCACACACACACACACACACAGGTGAGGAGGACACACACATACTAACTCTGACAGACACTCTCTCTCTCTCTCTCACACACACACACACACAGGTGAGGAGGACACACGCATACTAACTCTGACAGACACTCTCTCTCTCTCTCTCACACACACACACACACAGGTGAGGAGGACACACGCATACTAACTCTGACAGACACTCTCTCTCTCTCTCTCACACACACACACACACAGGTGAGGAGGACACACGCATACTAACTCTGACAGACACTCTCTCTCTCTCTCTCACACACACACACACACAGGTGAGGAGGACACACGCATACTAACTCTGACAGACACTCTCTCTCTCTCTCTCACACACACACACACACAGGTGAGGAGGACACACGCATACTAACTCTGACAGACACTCTCTCTCTCTCTCTCACACACACACACACACAGGTGAGGAGGACACACGCATACTAACTCT